ATCTGCTGGAGGCTTTCGTCTGCTCAAACTCTCTGTTGGGGACACCAAGGTCCTAGCTGGCTCTGTGGGTGGCTGAGAAGACTCTCCTTCCCCCACTCTCTCTCAGCCTCAGAAAGGAAAACCTCAGAGTCACCCTGACCAGGCCATCAGTTTAATCAAACCTTTGGCATTATATAGGTAACTGCTTGAAAATAACTCATCATCATAGCGATTTGTCACACATTCACATGGCAATGATTATTATTTACCAGCCACGAGGAGACTCACCAAAAGGCTACATCACCTCGTGCCAGCTCTCCCTGAATGATAACTGTGCAGAAAGGGGATTCTTATCTGGGGTCCTCCAAATACAGATATATACACAAAATCATGGGCACTGGGGACTGAGAGCTTGTCAGTGGGGAGACAAGCAGGGCAAAGCCCCACCCTATGCAGACCCATGAGGCCAGGTTGGGGAGAGAGTTGGCAGAGCGGGCAGCAGGGGTGATGGGGGTGCCGGGCTGAGCCCCAGGAGGAGGACACCCCCAACCCCTACAGGGCCATTGGACAGCTGGCCTCCTACTTGAGACACATCACAGTCCTGAGGGGATTGAGGGGTGTAGCAGAGGGGCCTAAGGGTGCAGGTGGCATGCAGGAATTCCTGCAGCCAGCTTCCTGCGGGGCGGCTCCTCTTTTGAACACCTCCACCCCTGCCCAGGGCCTCGAAGGCACAGAATCTGGCATCTCACCTCTAAGGGTCCAATGTGCGTGGCTTAGGTCCCTGGCTGAGGAAACAGCGTGGTCTGTGTCCTGTGTTGTCATGGCTTGGGAATTAATCCACGGCTCCTGTGGTGCCTTCTATAGGAACAGCTCTGACAAACGATGCATCCGCTCCTATCGGTGGCAAAGGGTCCTCACAGGACCCTTCCTGAGTACGAGAGGACTGGTAGTGGGGTGTCCCCGTCAGTCCAGGGAGGAGAGGAAGACGAGATGTGGAGGAGCACTTGACCTCTCTCCAATGTCTACTAACATAGTCACTTCTAGTATGATTTTGACCCCAGCTCCTACCACTCTCTCCTCTGGAAATTTTTGGTTTCCATCACATCTCAGAGAATTTGCAGCTCGATTGGAAACTGAACAGAAACTCCGCCCAAATTGCAGCTCTGCATAGTTCCCTCCTTGAGGCTATATTATTCAATTTCAGTGTGGGGTCTTCCCCAGCAAGGCGCACCTAACTCAAGGCTCCCAGAATTCCCATCAAAGACCACCCCCTTCCCTCTTTTGCCACCTCTGTTCCATGCAAATCACCCATTTTCATTCATGTAACCCCACTAAAATCCAGCATTGCTTACAAATGACCAAAATAAACTCCAGGGAGCTGAAATCAACGGTCATTTCAAAGGAGTCAGTTCTGGATTTCCCAGGCCAGGGAGGAGGGCGCCTGTTCAGTGACTTCCAGGCATCACTTCAAGGAGCAATAACCTTATTTCTCAGGAAATCCTTGCAGATGATGGGTATTAAACACCTTGTTCCTCACTGTTGTTCGACTGCAATGTGACAAGGGCCCAGGACACCTTCCCTTCCTGCCCCAGGTGGAGATTTCTCTCTGGTTTACCTATGATCCAAAAGAAACTTTTCAGATCAGTTTTCCACTTCAGACTTTCCTCTCAGCCCTAAGACACGCCATCTGGGAGTCTGGCCAATGTTACCACCCAGCTTCATTACCATCAACACCCACAGAAGGAATCGCGGTTTCCCAAAGTCCCACACTGCCCTGGCTCAGGGCATTTACACTTGAGTGCTCTGCCTGGGACCACACAACCACTCACCGTCTTTGACTTATTCTGGGGCGGACACCTCGCCACCTTCCTTCTAGTACTGTGGCTCCTAGACTCTCAGTCTGTGTGTGTGGGCATCCTGCTTACCCTCCTTTCCCAACTACTAACACAGGGCCTTCCAGAGAGCAGAGGCTCAGCAAAAGTCTGGGGAAGAAACGAGCCAGTGAGCAGGGGTCTTATTTACTCAGATGAAATTTGTCCGACTTTCTTGAATAACCCAAGCTAATCCGGGTATACACATACCTTTTAGCTTGATAGAATGACAGAAGAGACAGGATAAGAAGCTGAGAATTAAGTACCTTCTACATTTATTTGTCAATTTCTTGACCCCATCGATTTGACTGCTAAGTTCTTTCACATTTCCAAGGAAATTCCTCTTCCACGGCCATGTCACCGGGTTCGGTTACAGACTACGATGGAAGGTGTCCCGATTATTTTACAAAATAGCAAAACTCTGCCTCTTGGACTGGATAAGTACAAATTCATATGTAATGAATCTCATTCACAAACTTCGATGTGGAAGCTAATGAACAAACTTAGATGTGGAAGCTAATTAAACCTTCTATTATAGGGAAGCCATTTGAAAAATTGGTAAGGAAACCAAGATCCATCTCCAAGATCCATCATAGAGAACAGAAACCCAAAGACGCTATGCACCGTGTCCCCCCACCTCGCCCTGGCCCTCCACTACTTAGGACGCTGACTGCTCTCTCTTGAAACACAGAGTGAAGAAGCGGACTCACTTCATGCCCGCCAGGAGAAGCTGCTGGACGTGGGCCTGGACTGTGCCTGGCTGCAACTCTGGCTCAAGATCCCTCTTCCTCATCCCTCACAGCCTCTTCGGACAGGTGGAGGAAGGAACCTGGATCCCTGCTATGGACCCTGAGCAAATACTCCAGGACTTTCATCTTGCTGGTTTCAGCGTGGGCCCTGAGACCCCACAGGAACTCGTAGTGTGCAGGATCGCTGTCGGGTACCTGCCGGTACTCCATGTACTGTTCCTGCACCCAAATTTTGGTGA